TGCTAAGGCACAAGAGAAGGGCAAGAAAAGTCTGCAGAGTCAAAAGTGGGTCCTTTGAAAGGACGGGCAGCAGGCAAACTGCCGTAATATGAAGTCAAGGGAACAGTGTGAGGGGTGGTCTAACGATGCAATATTCACAGCAAGGATGAACTAAAACGATTATCAAGATGTTATTAATAAGCTTATGCCAATTTGAAAAGTGACATGAAGGTGGACACTTTCCTATAAAAATGTCAAGTACCAAGATTAACAAAAGGAACAGGACCTGGTAGTCTTGGAACCATCAGAGAAATGCACTGGTAGTTAAAAATCTCCTGCATAGAGCCGGGCATGGTGGTGTATAGTTTAATCCCAGCACTACAGAGGCAGAGGCAGGCGAATCTCTGTTTGATCAAGACCAGCCTTGTCCACATAGTGACTTTTAGGTGGGCTGGGTGGGACTAGGGAGACCCTGTCAAAAAAAAAATTCTGCACAGAAAATTCTGGGCCCTGGAAGGTTTATAGGCATTTGTGCTTAACTTTTCAGACACAAGTGATGCTGTCCTGCCCAGATCCTTCTGATGAAACAAAGGAGCAAAAATCCCAAACTCCACCTACAGTGCTGTTTAACCTTGATCCCAAAGCCAGATACAGACAACATGAGAAAACACAGATCAGTGTCACAGACTTCAATACTAATTACCCACCATGTTTCTGCCTTGGAATTCAGCATTGTCAAAACACTTTATTTTTATTTATTTATTTATTTATTTATTTATTTATTTATTTATTTATTTATTTATTTTGCCTTTTTGAGACAGAGTCACCCTGTAGCCCAGCTGTCCTGGAACTCACTATGTAGACCAGGCTGGCCTTGAGCTCATAGAGATCTGCCTGCCTCTGCCTCCTGAGTGCTAGGACTAAAGATGTGTGCCACCACACCTGGCTTAAAACACTTTTCTTAATAAAAAAAATTTCATGTGTACGTGCATCTATATGTTTGTAATGCACATGTACATGTGGTACCTGCAGAGGCCAGAAGTGAGTGTCCTGGAACTGGATTTACAGGTGGTTGTAAGCCACCTTCTGTGAGTGCTGGGAACTGAACCCAGGTCCTCTGCAAGAGCAGCCAGTGCTCTTAACTGCTGAGCCATCTCTCCAGCCCTTGAAAATACTTGTAACACACCCTGCCTGGCCAAATTGTGCTTAGGCCAGGAATGTAAGTTTGGTTTACTATTAGAAAGCGCAGTAATTTAATTCACTGTATTGAGAAACTGAGTAAGAAAAAGTGGATGAAGATCTAGATACACGTAGGAAAAGCATGGGACACCAACAGCCACCCACGGTTGCTAGAGTTTAGAAAAAAAAATGGCATATAAGGGAACTTCTTAAAACTGATAGGAAACATGTTACCTTTGATGCATTCTACAAGTATCTCTAAACATTTAACCCCAGAAATGAAAGCACATCTGCCAAGATCAAGGACAGAACGGGGAAGCCCATTACCACCAGCACCAGCCTGTTTACCAGGAACTGCAGGTCCTAGACATTGCTATAAGACAAGAAAAAGAAATAGGTATATAGCTTGAAAGGACACTGCCTATGGCCACTTACAAACACACTGGAGTTCATCAGCTGCTCTGCTCAGGGGACTCTACTGGTGAATTACTAGAATTACTGAATTTAGCTAAACAGCCTCAACAATAGCAAACAGAAAACTTGTGAGTGTAATGTTAAAATATTTCATTATAATAAAAGCATAAAAAGTCTAAAGATGCAAAAGACCTCAAGGTAGAAGATTATAGAACAGATTAGAAATATATGGACACCTATAGAAAGAGGTAGACCATGTTAATGGACAGGGATATTTGATGAATGCAGTTCCATTATGGATGTCAACAGTCCCCATGGGAGACAGGCTCTCACTATGGGGCCCACAGTGGCAGGAAGTTCATGAGTCCTCCACTTCAGAGCTGGCATTACAGGCATGTACCACCATGAACCAGAGTTTTCAGGGGGACGGATGATGGTTCTGAAATGTCCACCGAAAGTGAAGGCTGTAGCTGACACTCCTGCTTTAGAAAGTCACAGTGACTTAGATACTGCAACCTGGCAGAACAGGATGGAGCTGGAGCAGACTGAGGAAGGACAGTGCTGGTGCTGTGGATGAGAGGAAACCGTGGAACCCCAGGGCGGGTGTCTGTGTGGAGAACACAGCGGAGCCCCACTTCACACAGGTGGAGAGATACGTGTGGCAGGAAAGCAAGAAAATAAAGTGAAAACCCGCAAACCTGCAGGAGGCGACAGGCTAAGATGCCCGCGACCCTGGGAGAGGGAGGATCACAACCACAGCACAGAGCAGAACATGTGTGAAAGGCTGTGCACTGCAGGACCAGCAAACTGAAGCAGCATTCTGCATTGGACAAAATACACACATCTGTATGCACACACATGCATGCACACATGTACACAATTCACATCCAGCACCCCTCCATCTTCCCCCACTTTACTCAGCTACCTCGTCCCCTCCTCTGAACCCCATGCATATGCACACACACATGCACATGTACATATGCACATGTCCACACACCAACATACACACACATGCACATGTACACATACCAACATGCACACACATGGATGCGTGCACACACACATACACATATGCACACATGCACATGCATACAATGCATGCACATATGCACACACATGATTCACATCAAGCTTCTCCCCCACTTACTGGCTCCATCCTCCCATTTCCTGAATGTCTCAACCTCTGTTGCCCTCAAACAGGCCCCGTCCTTGGCATTCAAAGCTCGCAGCCTGAGCTCTTGGCTGCTGCCCACTCCTGCCTTACCTGTCTTCCAGCCTCCACCCTCTGTACTCTCCACTTGGCATCTTTGCAGAGAACAGCCCACCTTGGGTCTCCTCCATCTTCCCTGCCCAGCACCAACACCTGACTCTGCCTGCCGCTCCACAAGGCCCTGAGCTGCTGGCACGTCCTGTGGGCTCGTTCTTCAGTCACCACTTCTTGTCTCTGGTGTCACTGGCCTACTCACACCTGCTCCCTGCCCTCCCTCCCTCCATCTCCACACAGCAGGCAGAGTGACACTGTTTAACTAGTCACCAATCAGGCCACCCTGGGCTAGGACAGGGACGGCACTCTGAGAGAAAGCAAGGTCTTCCCACTGGGCTTCTGTCCTGCACAATAGACCCCGGGCTTGGACCTCATCACCACTCTTCACCCCTCAACAGCCCTGGCCATCCACCAACGCTCCAGCCATGTTGTACACCCTTGTCACCCATGTCCTCTCTGCTCCTTGCTAACCCCACCTAGCAGCCAGGTCTCTCCTCTGAGTCCACCTGCTCAGAGACGCCCCCAACCCTGCCAGCTGCCAGCACTGCCCTTCTCTTTCCTGCTTTCCCCCATATACTGTCATCACTGGCCAAGATAGCATGCTTAACACACTTACTGTCTGGACCCCTGCAGGAGCGCAGACCCCAAGGAGGCGGGTCAGGCTGCTTTGCTTGTGGGTTGCTGGCAAAGCTCTAAGACCTGCTGCTTTTGCATGGGGACAGTCCTGCCTGACCTGCCTTCTGTGTCTGTACACCCGGCATCCTGTTTTGGGGAGATCCTGCCCTCATCCAGGGCAGGCCCTGCCACACCCTCTCAGCTGCCACAGGCTCCTTCCCAACACACAACAGCCCACATGGCCTTCCTAAATGCTGTTCCACAGGCCTCTGGCCTCCCTCCCCAGCTGATCTTGATTGTCAACCTTACAGGACCTGGAATCATCTGTGAGAAAAGCCTCTGGGCATTCCTGTGAGGGATTATCTATATTTGGTTCTTGAAGGGGGAAGACCCACCCTTTATGTGGACAGCACCATGCCATGGGTGGGGGTCCTGGACTGAATAGAAAGGAAGAAGCGAGCTGAGCACCAGCTTGTATCTCTCTGCTTCCTGACTGTGGATGCCATGTGACCAGCTGCCTCACACTCCTGTGGCCTTCCCCACCACGATGGACTGCACCCTCAAACCGTGAGGCTCTGTGTCACTGGCTGCCTGGCCCTGGGCTGTGGAGGGAACCTGGGACACCCAACAGCAGCATGGGGACACACTGAGCCCCACTTTGCTGTTTAGTGTGAGGAACAAAGCAATGCTCTGCTGGTGCCAGGGTGGCGGGCATGTGGCCCCTCCCCTCCCCTTCCCAGGCACTCAGTGCCCCCAGATGCTGGTGCAAAGAGAGGTCCTTTTGCCCTGGAAAGCTGAAGACACAGGCTTCCAGGGCTTTCTAGCTGAAAGGGAGCCCGGCTCAGTACTCCAGGAGGAGGCTGAAGGCAGTCCTTCTGGAGTTCTGTGACTGAGAAGATGACCCTGGAGACTCATGGTCCAAGTCTAGCCTGCACACAGCAGAGCTGGCCACACGGGAGCATGTCCCCAGGATGCCTGGAGCAGCAGACCCTGGGTGTAGCAGGGAGAGGGGAGAGGGAGGGAGCACCAGCAACTCCAGAATGCAGGGAGGCTCTTTCAACCACAACAGCACCAGAGGATCATGGGAAGGAGAAGGGAAGGGGAGTGGGCACTGGAGATGAGCTTCATTTGATATTAAAAACAAAAGGGACATGATTTTCACTGATTGAAATGGTGCAATTCACGGCTGTTACTTCAACAGAAAGGGTGAGGTGCCTCATGCCCAGGATCCCAACTCGGGGGGTGGGGGGCGGCAGAAGCAGATCAACCCAAGTCCAAGGTCTGATTGGTCTTGAGTTGGTTCCAAAGATCAGGTTGGAACTTGGTCAAAGCAGGTTCCAGACTAGTACAGTCTACCCCTTTCCACACACACAAAAGAAAGAAAAGGAAGAAGAGGAGGAGGAGGGGGAGGGGGAGGGGAGAGGAGGAGGAGGAGGAATGAAAGACAGAAAGAGAAAAGACCTCAAAGCATTTAAAAATACTGAGTGCACTTGGGGCTCGGGGGAGAGCAGATTTCTCCAGGGCTCCAGGTGAGTGGCCATGGTCTTACCTGCTCATCTGTCAGGATCTGCACATGGCGGGTACAGATGGACCTGAACTCGTCTCTGGAGACTGTGTTGGTTTTCATAGTGTCAAAGTTCTCAAACTCCTGGGCAATCGCGTGGTAGTGGGAAGTCACTGCCTTGTGTACACGTGCCAGGATGTCTCTGTTGGCCATCTCCTTGGGAGATATGGGGGGCAAGACTTTGGGCATCTTCTCAGCCCACTCGTCAGCAGTCTGCACAAAACAGAACGGAAATAGGTCCACAGAGTAAACAGCGAATAGCCCTCGTCCTTGGTGCAGGAAGATGTGGCTTAGTGAGGATGAGATGCGATTTCTAATGACAGTTCAGCTCAGCCATGTGGAAGCCTGGGCTCACTTGCCATGAAAGGGGACTCCAGGGTGGGAACCTGCCCTTGGAGGGGGCTGTGGAACACTGAGAAGGCCCTGGGATGGCTGCACCATGTACCCCTCCCACTCCCTCCTACTTGCTGTCTTTTGGTTCATTTAACACAGGAAGGGGCTAGGGAGATGGCTCAGTTGGTAAAGTGCTAGCTGGCCAAACATGAGGAAGAGAGCTCAATGCCCAGAACCCATGTAAATGAGGCAGGTTGTGGAGGTGAACACTTACAGTCCTCGTGCTGGGAGAGTGGAGACAGGCAAAGCTCTGAGGATTGACACCCGAGGTTGTCCTGTGGCCTCCACATACACTTGCACACAAACGTGCACATGTGCACGTACCTTTACACACTCTCTCCCTCCCCCAAACAAAACAAAACAAAACCCATACAGCATGTGGCCCTGTGTGCGGCCTCAGCATTGACAGGGCCAGGCCCAGACTGCTTCATCTCAGAATGTGGGTTGGGTTTGCGCATCACAATCGTTCTGGTGCTGCAGTCCTGCCAACTGTTGGCTAAGTGCTTCCTGCAGCTAGAAACTCTCCCAGACCCACAGGGATTTAATTCTGGGGAGCCTGGGAGGATCTGCTGGTGCAGTGGGTCCTGGCACACGGGCCTAGGGCAGGGCCCTGCCTGCTTCTGGGTCAGGAAACCTGCATGCTGCCAGAGCTGTCTGTGGTGCTGGGGAGAGAGGAGGGCTGCACAACCTGGGCTGGGGTCAGGGACTTCCTGGAATGAGGCTGAAGGGCTCTTGTTACCACTTTTATACTTATGTGGTGACAAGAGGACTTACTAGGCTGGGGACCCGAGGAGGACTGAACCCCACCTTCCAGTTTCTGACACTTATCACTGGGGGACAGATGGATGGGAGCTAGCAAGTGAGAGATAATCTCTCAAGGAGCAGCAGTAAAGGGACCAGGAAAACAGCCAGGGACTCTCAGCTTATTGGGGCTAGTCAGGAGGGGGGTGCTGGGGAGCCTGGGTGCCGTGCTGCAGATGCACCTGAGGGGTGAAGTGGTGAGGTAGGGGAGTCTTCAATCTCCTGCTGGGGCCTGAGGCAGAGCCAGGGAAGCAGCTCAGGCAGGTACCTCTTTGCTTAGCTAGTCAAAGCTTCCAAAGCCAGGCCTGCGGCTGCTGGAACCACAGTTCAGCTCCTGGTGAGGAAAGCAGATTCTAAAGGAAGATATGACCTTGCTCTGAGAGAATCCGGGGGGCCAGTGCAGGAATGTTGCCTCTGGCCCTGGTGATCCTGATAAAGGGTCCCGTTGCAATCAAGCCCTGCTCTAACATTAGCCTTCCCATGAATACCAGGGCTGTGCTAAGAGCTCAGCAGACTTTGACATCGAATCCCCCCAACTAGCATTACAACCTAGCCATGCTTTCTTTATTTTACGCAGGCCCACAGCAACATCTGCACTCTGTCACTGTCCTGTGGCACAGAGCAATCCACATGACACATAAAGAGCTTTATGCTTATGGAATTATCGCAAACCCCAGCTGAGGCTGGGAGTGTCCTCAAAAATACAGACACATACACACTTCCACTCAAACCAAAGCTCACCACAGCCACCCGTGGGCACTGCACATCCCCACTGGCCCATTTATAGTCATTTGCCAAGTAAACGGGTGCTATTCCTCTCATTTGAGAAAATCAAAGTGGTTTTCCTGATGTTTCCTGTGCTTTCAGAATTCAAACAGTTATAAGTGTGCTTCCAACAGAGCCCAGCCCCGGCATCCCTCCCTCCCACAGGGTATCAACACCCGTAGTACAGAGAGGGGGTCCCCTCCTGACATGGGGCCTGCCTCTGAGAGAGGGGCCTCCCCATGGAGTTAAGTCCTGCCACTCTGTCTAGTTCACACCATTCACTGTCACCCTCAGGCCTGAGGAGGACGTGTAAGATGGGGAGGCAGTGGGCACAGGGGCAGCTCAGCATGGAAGACAGAGGCAGACCAGGGGATGGCGGGGGGGCTATATCTCACCTGACTCTGCCTCCCCCAGCTGTGAAGTCTTAACTGGCTTTTTGCCTCTGTTTCCTCCTCTGTCCAGGAGGATTAAAGCTACACCTGAGATGGCCAAGGTGCATTGCTCTTGACAGTGTCAGACCTGAGAGCCGAGAGGAATGCTGTTATTCTCATAACAGATGGGAAGGTTCCAGCAAATCATTGTGTGCGACCCTAGCTCAATGTGCTTTAAACGCCAGAGGAAATCATTTTCTAGCAAAATATACATAATTTAAGTTTAACTGGAACGTTTCTACCTATCACAAACAAGGTGCCAAGCCTAGATGGCTTTAAAGGCAAGCTGGATGGAACCTTCAGGGAACAGATAATTAGATAATTTTTACATCAGTCAAATTTTTCTAGCATTTAATAAAAAAGACACGTAGGATTGGAATCACTGTGTATGATTTTAATGTTCCACTATTAAAACACGATAAAGAAAAATAGAAACCAATCTCATTTGTGGCAATTAATGCAAAGACCCTAAAATTCTAGAATAAATTAGGAATATTCAGTACTTATCTTACTTTTCTTGTTCTGACAAAATACCAGATAAAAGCAACTTGTGGACGGAGGGTTATCTTGGCTCACAGTTTGAGAGTTTGTCCATCAAGGTTAGAAAGGCATGGTGGTCGGAGTGTGAGGTGGCTGGTAGGATTGTGTCCTCAGACAGGAGGAGAAAGCAGACAGGAGGTAGGTGGGCAGGAGCCCTCAAGGCCCGCCCCCGGTGACCCACACCTTTCAGTAAGGCTGTACCTCCTAAAGGTCTCACATCATCCCCAAACAATGCACCAGCAGGGGACCAAGAGTTCAAACACGCCTCTGCGGGGACATTCACACTCAAACCATAACAACACACTAAAATGACTAACATGTACATGAATATACACCACGTATATATGGCAAAGACTAGGAGAGAATGGGTTGGATAAACTACATGAAAATGAACAGCCTACGATCAATCAGATCCTTTGCTTTCTGCAAACATATTAGATGGGGGACTTTCACTATTTGTGTGTATGTATGTGTGCTGGCATGTATGTCACAGCATGCATGTGAAGGTCAGAGGACAGCTTTGTGGAGCTGGTTCTCTCCTTCCACCTTTGTGGGTGCTGGGGATCAGACTCAGCAGTGGGACCAAGCTTGTACAGCAAGCCCCTTAATACTGAGCCATCTTGCAAGCCCTGAATGGTTAGGATTTATTTATTTTGACATGATTTCTCTATCAAACTGGCCTCAAAATCAGCATCCTCCTGCCTCAACCTCACCCGTGTTGGGATTATAGGCATCTACCACCACACCTGGCCTACCATGGACCTTTTAGAATATCCATCTTTTGTAAAATGCTGAAAACAATACCATTATTTTTAGATAAGAGTGACTGGCTAGAAAATCTCCAGACAATTTAGGAAAATGGTCCAATTCCAGCTAAAATACAAAAGAGCAGTACCTGTTTGGGGAAAACATTAACTATGACTAGTTACAAGTTGAACTGGGAGAAACTCCACAGTCATGTTAACAGCAGGCTGCTGAGGATGGGAGGGATCAGGGGAGAGACAGACACTCCAGAGAGGAACGGCACTTACCAAGGCTGGGATGAACACAGAGGCAGGTCATGTACCCGAACAGAAGGACTCGGGTTCAAACCACAAAGCCCTTGTCAAGCTTAGAGAACAGTGCGGCTGCTGCAAGGACAGCTTCATCCAGGGCGACCTCAGCTTCCTCAAGGAAGACTCTGCTCTGAGCACTTAACTGCAAAGCGCCCTTCTGTGGTTCCTGTTTCCCATCCCAGCAAGTGGGAGCCACCTGTCTAGCCCAGAGGCTGCAGTCACCTGTGTCAACAGCTTACCACCCAACATCCAAACCACCCTCCAACGCTGACAACTCCGCCCCACCTCACCTCTTGTCTAGGCCACCGCCAACTGCGTGGGAGCTGTGTCGGTCTCCCACACCCATCCTTGGGCCTTTCCTCTGAGGAGCTTCTTTCCTAGAAGTACCAATCAGATCAAGGCCCAACCCTCAAAGGGCTTTACAGACCCTCAGAACAAGAGGCCGGCCTCACAATGACCTCTGTGACCTCAGCTCTGTGACTCTCCTCCCCATTCACCCTGCTCAGAACCAAGGTCCCTGCTCTCCTGCAGACACAGCAGCCTCAGTTCTGCCCCAGGGCCTTTGCACTTGTTGTCCCCGGTCCCCTCGGATCTGTAGCCCGCTCATTGTGGGCCTCTCCTATACTTCTTGACCACTCCTTGGTGGGGCACAGTAGTTTCCCAAAGAAACAAGGAGCAGACACATAATGTTGAGCCATGCCAACCCTAAAACCAGGATGCCAAGATTCTACCTGCTCTGGTGGTGGCCCTGGGTCGACTACTGGGAGGCAAAGAGAAGGAAGTCACAGGAAGATTCTGCTTCAAACAACCTTAAATCTGAACTGGAAGAAGCTCCGGTGTGTTAACTTGGCCACACCTCTTTTAAGAATCTAAATGATTCTGAGCACGACAGAATCACTTAGAAAATTAAAGTTTGTGAAATAAAGAAGTGGCAACAGTTGAGATGCCCGACCTTAGCCACGCAGTCAGTGCTGACACGCCCGACCTTAGCCGTGTGGTCAGTGCTGAGATGCCCGACCTTAGCCATGTGGTCAGTGCTGAGATGCCCGACCTTAGCCGTGTGGTCAGTGCTGAGATGCCCGACCTTAGCCACGCGGTCAGTGCTGAGATGCCCGACCTTAGCCGTGTGGTCAGTGCTGAGATGCCCGACCTTAGCCACGCGATGCCCGACCTTAGCCATGTGGTCAGTGCTGAGATGCCCGACCTTAGCCACGCGGTCAGTGCTGAC